TTTTGCATCATATTCATCAGTGATACTGGTGTGTAATTTTCTTATTTTGTAGTATCTTTGTCTGGTTTTGGTATTAGGGTGATGGTGGCCTCATAGAATGAGTTTGGGAGTGCTCCTTTGCAATTTTTTGGAAGAGTTTCAGAAGGATGGGTGTTAGCTCTTCTCTAAATGTTTGATACAATTCACCTGTGAAGCCATTTGGTCCTGGACTTTTGTTTGTTGGAAGATTTTTAATCACAGTTTCAATTTCATTACTTGTGATTGGTCTGTCATATTTTCTATTTCTTCCTGGTTCAGTCTTGGAAACTTATACCTTTCTAAGAATTTGTCCATTTCTTCCAGGTTGTCCATTTCTTTGGCATAGAGTTGCTGGTGGTAGTCTCTTAGGATGCTTTGTATTTCTGCGGTGTCTGTTGTAACATCTCCTTTTTCATTTCTAATTTTATTGAGTCCTCTCCCTCTTTTTCTTGATGAGTCTTGCTAATGGTTTATCAATTTTGTTTATCTTCTCAAAGAACCGGCTTTTAGTTTTATTGATCTTTGCTATTGTTTCCTTTGTTTCTATTTATTTCTGCTCTGATCTTGATTTCTTTCCTTCTGCTAACTTTGGGTTTTGTTTGTTCTTCTTTCTCTAGTTCCTTTAGGTGTAAGGTTAGATTGTTTATTTCAGATTTTTCTTGTTTCTTGGGGTAGGCTTGTATAGCTATAAACTTCCCTCTTAGAGCTGCTTTTGCTGCATCCCATAGGTTTTGGATCATTGTGTTTTCATGGTCATTTATCTCTAGGTATTTTTTGATTTATTCAGTGATCTCTTGGTTACTTAGTAACATATTGTTTAGCCTCCATGTGTTTGTGTTTTTTACGTTTTTTCCCCTGTAATTCATTTCTAACCTCATAGTGTTGTGGTCAGAAAAGATGCTTGATATGATTTCAATTTTCTTAAATTTACTGAGGCTTGATTTGTGACCCAAGATGTGACCTATCCTGGAGAATGTTCTATGCACACTTGAGAAGAAAGTGTAATTTGCTGTTTTAGGACAGAATGTCCTATAAATATCAATTAAATCTATCTGGTCTACTGTGTCATTTAAAGCTTCTGTTTCCTTATTTATTTTCATTTTGGATGATCTGTCCATTGGTGTAAGTGAGGGAAAAAAATGGAGCTGGAGGAATCAGACTCCCTGACTTCAGACTATACTACAAAGCTACAGTAATCAAGACAATATGGTACTGGCACAAAAACAGAAACATAGGTTAAAGTCCCCCACTATTATTGTGTTACTGTCGATTTCCTTTTATAGCTGTTAGCAGTTGCCTTATGTATTGAGGTGCTCCTATGTTGGGTGCATATATATTTATAATTGTTGTATCTTCTTCTTGGATTGATCCCTTGATCATTATGTAGTGTCCTTCCTTGTCTCTTGTAACATTCTTTGAAGTCAATTTTACCTGATGAGTATTGCTACTCCAGCTTTCTTTTGATTTCCATTTGCATGCAATATCTTTTTCCATCCCCTCACTTTCAGTCTGTATGTGTCCCTAGGTCTCAAGTGGGTCTCTTGTAGACAGCATATAGATGGGTCTTGGTTTTGTATCCATTCAGCAAGCCTGTGTCTTTTGTTTGTAGCATTTAATCCATTCATGTTTCAGGTAATTATTGATATGTATGTTCCTGTGACCATTTTCTTAATTGTTTTGGGCTTGTTTTTGTAAGTCCTATTCTTCTCTTGTGTTTCAACTTAGAGAAGTTCCTTTAGCATTTGTTGTAGAGCTGGTTTGGTGGTGCTGAATTCTCTGAGCTTTTGCTTGTCTGTAAAGCTTCTGATTTCTCCATTGAATCTGAATGAGATCCTTGCCAGGTAATCTTCATTGTAGGTTCTTCCCTTTCATCACTTTAAGTATATCATGCCACTCCCTTCTGGCTTGTAGAGTTTCTGCTGAGAAATCAGCTGTTAACCTTACGGGAGTTCCCTTGTAGGTTGTCATTTTTCGCTTGCTGCTTTCAATAATTGTTCTTTGTCTTTAATTTTTGCCAATTTGATGACTATGTGTCTCAGCATGTTTCTCCTTGGGTTTATCCTGTAAGGGACTCGCTGCACTTCCTGGACTTGGGTGGCTATTTCCTTTCCCATGTCAGGGAAGTTTTTGACTATAATCTCTTCAAATATTTTCTCTGGCCCTTTCTCTCTCTTTTCTCCTTCTGGGACCCCTATAATGTGAATGTGTTTGCGTTTAATGTTGTCCCAGAGGTCTCTTAGGCTGTCTTCATTTCTTTTCATTCTTGTTTCTTTATTCTGTTCCATAGCAGTGAATTCCACCATTCTTTCTTCCAGGTCACTTATCCGTTCTTCTGCCTCAGTTATTCTGCTATTGATTCCTTCTAGTGTAGTTTTCATTTCAGTTATTGTATTGTTCATTTCTGTTTGTCTGTTCTTTAATTCTTCTAGGTCTTTGTTAAACATTTCTTGCATCTTCTTGATCTTTGCCTTCATTCCTTTTCTGAGGTCCTGCATCATCTTCACTATCATTATTCTGAATTCTTTTTCTGGAAGGTTGCCTATCTCCACTTAATTGTTTTTCTGGGGTCTTATCTTGTTCCTTCATCTGGTACACAGCCCCTCTGCCTTTTCATCTTGTCTATCATTCTGTCAATGTGGTTTTTGTTCCACAGGCTGCAGGACTGTAGTTCTTCTTGCTTCTGCTGTCTGCCCTCCGGTGGATGAGGCTATCTAAGAGGCTTGTGCAGGTTTCCTGATGGGAGGGACTGGTGGTGGGTAGAGCTGACTGTTGCTCTGGTGGGCAGAGCTCAGTAAAACTTTAATCCGCTTGGCTGCTGATGGATGGGCCTGGGTTCCTTCCCTGTTGGTTGTTTGGCCTGAGGCAACCCAACACTGGAACCTACCCGGCTCTTTGGTGGGGCTAATGGTGGACTCTGGGAGGGCTCACGCCACGGAGTACTTCCCAGAACTTCTGCTGTGTCCTTGTCCCCATGGTGAGCCACAGCCACCCCCCCCCCCTGCAGGAGACCCTCCAACACTAGCAGGTAGGTCTGGTTCAGTCTCCCCTGGGGTCACTGCTCCTTCCCCTGAGTCCTGATGTGCACACTACTTTGTGTGTGCCTTCCAAGAGTGGAGTCTCTGTTTCCCCCAGTCCTGTCGAAGTCCTGCAATCAAATCCCACTAGGCTTCAAAGTCTGATTCTCTAGGAATTCCTCCTCTCATTGCCAGACCCCCAGGTTGGGCAGCCTGATGTGGGGCTCAGAACCTTCACTCCGGTGGGTGGACATCTGTGCTATAAGTGTTCTCCAGCCTGTGAGTCACCCACCCAGAAGTTATGGGATTAGATTTTGCTGTGATTGTGCCCCTCCTACCATCTCATGTGGATTCTCCTTCATCTTTGGATGTGGGGTATCTTTTTTGGTGAGTTCCAATGTCTTCCTGTCGATGATTGTCCAGCAGCTACTTGTGATTCTGGTGTTCTCACAAGAGGGAGTGAGAGCATGTCCTTCTACTCTGCCATCCTGGTTCCCGTATTCACCTCCATATTTAAAAGAGCCCTTTCCTCCCTCCTCCCTGTCCTTTACTCTGCTTTATTGTCTTCATAGCATTTATAACTATTTATCAAGTGTTTACCGTCTCGATGAATGGATAAAGAAGCAGTGGTACATATATACAATGGAATATTACTCAGCCATAAAAAGGAACGAAATTGGATCATTTGTAGAGACGTGGATGGATCTAGAGACTGTCATACAGAGTGAGGTAAGTCAGAAAGACAAAAAAAATGATCGTATGTTAACGCATATATGTAGAACCTAGAAAAATGGTACAGATGAACCAGTTTGCAGGGCAGAAATAGAGACACAGATGTAGAGAACAAACGTATGGACACCAAGGGGGGAAAGTGGCGGGGTGGTGGTGGTGGTGTGATGAATTGGAAGATTGGGATTGACATGTATACACTGATGTGTATAAAACTGATGACTAATAAGAACCTGCTGTATAAAAAATAAATAAAATAAAATTTTTTTAAAAAAGTGTTTACTGTCTCTAGTTACAAGCTCCACAGGTTAGGGGAGGGGGAAAGATTTTGTCTGTTTTGCTCATTGCCACATCCCAGCACCTACAATGGGGCCCACAGGTACTCAGATGTTTGTTGAAGGGAATGCATGAAGAAATATTTGACTCCAAAGTCCATGCTTTCCATGACATGGCACTACTGCACTAGCACCTACATAGCTTAGCAGAGACTACTGGTAAAAGCTGACTCAGTGCAGGCCTCAGCTATGGATGTTCTCTGAGAAGATCTCTGCCAAAGGATCCACAAGATCTTTGTGTCATGACCACAGCTGGGCAAGTCCTGCAAAGATCTATCATCTAAGGGCTGCTATGAAAGGGGACAGGGGAGCCTGGAGGCCTATAAGAAAGTGGCAGACTCCTTCCCCTGAATCCAGTTATGTCCCGGGAATGAAGGTGGCAGCAACTGATCAAAGCACCAAGTTCTCAGAAGGGAACGGGAAACAATCCAGCAGGTTGTTTTTTCTTCATTTCTGTACCTGCTCCCTGTTACAAACAAACAAATAAGGCCCTCATGATGTTTTAAGGCCTTGCTTTACTGGCCTCACTGGAAATCAGTGACAGTGGTGCTTTGACAGCATTACTGTCAGGCAGCTGTTGACGAGGACAGAGAGGAAGGGCTGGGTCTCTGTGGTGGAGTGAGAAGTCAGAGCAGCACCACCTCTAACTATGGAACCTGGACAAATTACTTACACTCAGAACCTCGACGACATTAACTGCAAAATAAGCACAACTCTCCCTATGTCCTTGATCACTGCGAGGACTTAACGAGGTGACAAGTTGTTGCAAACGCCTAGCAGAACTCTGAACAAATGCTAGTTCCATTCCTTCTCTACTCTACGTATAGAACGTTCACTTGGCCACCCCAAATACACACATGAAAGACATGATACTTTTGTGAAATTGATTCAGTTAGATAAATACCTTCAGCTTCTTTAGTTCAAGTTGGTGATGTTGTAAAGAATGTTCACATTCATTCTTACTTTCTTTAAGGCCTGCATTTTCTTGCTCCAGCTCTCTCTGCAAATTGAGAAAAGTATGTATAAAAGAAAAGGTCTTTACCATATTTTCCCTGAGCACAGTCCTATCTCTTTGACATGGAACCTTTAAAAATGCCCCCCTTCCTTTTGTTGCCACTGTAGGGGTGGGAGATGAGAATGGGGATTGGGGTGAGGAAGGGAGAGTCACCTGACACACTCCTCACAAGAACTAAGGCACTTGATTCTGAAGCCTATGGAACAAGGAGGGGAACCAAGGAAGGGAGAAGCCATTAAGGATGAACAGTATACATTTTAGAAAGGCAGTGGGAAGCCGCTGATGGGACTGGTCAGGAAGCACCAGGAAGTCCATGTGCAGCCCAAGGAAAAAGAAAACCCATTTGTTCAGGGTTTTTATAAAAAGCAGCCTTTTAACATCCAGTCTCATGAGCAGGTGTTTTGTTGAAAGATAAAAACTGCTCCAAAAAGTGGTTCCCTACTTCAGAGGAGGGCTGGTCTTCTTCTCATCAAATAACTTGGCAGCCGAGCCACACGTGAACGTGGTGCTCCCGTACCCGGCCCCTCTCCTTTCCTCACTCACCACCTTCCGCTCCGCGGCCGCATGGTCGGCTGCCCGAGCTCTCTCCAGGGCAGAGAGCTGGGCCTTCAGTGTGTGGATCTGCTCTGTGCACTGCTGCTCCAGAGTGAGGACCTGCTGCTGTGCACAGCTGCTCTCCTTGTTTGCGGAGGCCTGAGGGGGTAGCAGAGGACAGTTATTCGTGGTCACAATGGGGGCTTTATTCTGTCCCTCAGTGACCCAAAGATGAGTGTCCAATAGAAACAACTCTCCTTCCTGACCTCCAGCCTGGGTGCCGCTGAGGTCCCCTGGCCTGCTCAGGAGCTGGAATCTGGGATTGGTCTTGGTGCTGGGGGAACAGCTCTGGGCACCAGCCAGTCCTAAGACACAGCCCTCCTTTACTCTACTCAGTGCTGCCCTCTATGGATGAGGCTTTTCCCTGGGGAGGCACATAACACAGTGATGAAGAACAAGGGCTTTGACCTAGGAAGGATGTGGGTTCAGCCATTTACTAGGTGGGAGACCTTGGGCTGGTGATCTGGTCGCCTTTCTGAGCCTGCTTCTCTGAGCCTCTGGAGAATAAGGATAACAGTACAGGCTCTTAGGTCTGCTGCAAGGACTAAATTAAAATACATGCAGAGTACTTAGCAGACACGGCAAACAGGCAACAAATGCTGTTTTTATTTCTCTAGTTTCAAGCTCAACACCTGACTTGGCGCTGTGACTACCGGCCAAGCCCTTGCCATCTGTTCCCCAGAGCCTGGAGCTGCTCTCTACAGTCCCGGCTGCAAGGTGAGGTTTGAACGCCAGTGGAGACACCACCTCTAACAGTCCCAGAACTAGGCTGGGCCGTCTAGCCCGTCACTATCTCTCTGGGTAACTCAGACCCTCTAGCAGGTCCTGACTCCCTCTACCTGCACTGCCTATCTGCTCACAACTGTATCTAAGGTCAGGTCCAGATACCATTCCAGAATTTGGGAGTGAGTTTGGGGACCTACAAAGGAATAAAGGGAAAAAGCATCAAGGGCCTAGAACACAGCAGTCACAATACCCACTTACAAGCTCCTGAATCTGAGCTTCCTGAGCTGCCACAATGTCACTGCTCTGTTTTAGCTTCTCCTCAGATGCCTGCAGGCTCTGCTCTAGTTCTTTCACCTGAGGGGGGAAAGAGAAGCACCCTTTTGTTCAAAAGAAGTAGCAACAAAATGGCTTTTAAAATCAAATCTATTTAAATCATAAAACAGGTTCATTAAAGAAAAATTTTTACTTACAAAAAAAGAAAGATGTTCATAAGTCTACCATTATAAAACACTATCATTCTAATATAGTTTCTTACAGGCTATTTTTATGACTTTTCTTTCTTTATTACAACTTCGTATACAATTCTAGTAAAACTTTGTATTTTTCCTCCTTGCTCAAATTTCCTTCTATGTTTCCACGCAGTCTTCAGACCTTAGATTATTTCCTTAAAGGATGTTTAATAATTTCCTCAGGGAAATTATTATTATAAAAACATCCTTTAAATGCCGTTAGCATACGGCATTTGTTTTTCTCTTTCTGACTTCAGAAAGAAGACTTTCTGACTTCACTCTGTATGACAGACTCTAGGTCCATCCACCTCACTACAAATAACTCAATTTCTTTTCTTTTTATGGCTAATATTCCATTGTATATATGTGCCACATCTTCTTTATCCATTCATCTGTTGATGGACATTTAGGTTAGTTCCATGTCCTGGCTATTGTAAATAGTGCTGCAATGAACACTGTGGTACAAGTCTCTTTCTGAATTACAGTTTCCTCAGGGTATATGCCTAGTAGTGGGATTGCCGGGTCATATGGTAGTTCTATTTGTAGTTTTCTAAGGAACCTCCATACTGTTCTCCATAGTGGCTGTATCAATTTACATTCCCCCCAACAGTGCAAGAGGGTTCCCTTTTCTCCACACCCTCTCCAGCATTTACTGTTTCTAGATTTTTTGATAATGGCCACTCTGACCGGCATGAGGTGATACCTCATTGTAGTTTTGATTTGCATTTCTCTAATAATTAGTGATGTTGAGCATCTTTTCATGTGCCTCTTGGCCATCTGTATGTCTTCCTTGCTGAAACGTCTATTTAGGTCTTCTGCCCATTTTTTAATTGGATTGTTTGTTTTTTTTGATATTGAGCTCCACGAGCTGTTTGTATATTTTGGAGACTAATCTTTTGTCTGTTGTTTCATTTGTAAATATTTTCTCCCATTCTGAGGGCTGTCTTTTTGTCTTGTTTATGGTGAAACCTAGCTTTTTGAACTGCTGGGTTCAGTAAATATCTATGCAAGTCCCAGTTTGCAGGCAGAACTCAAGAAAGATTCAGATCCTCAAAAGGTTATGCACAGAGTTATTATATGACCCAGCAACTCTATTCCTAGGAATATACCCAAGAGAAATGAAAGTATAAGCCCATACAAAAACCTTGTTCATAAATTAATGTTCACTGTAGCATTTTTCACAACAGCCACAAGGTGGAAACAACCCAAATGTCCATGGACAAATGAATGGATAAACAAAATGTGATATATGTACAATGGAATAAAGGTCTTAAAAAGGCTTATTCAGCCTTAAAAAGGAGTGAAATTCTGAAACATGCTATAATGTGAATGAACCTTGAAGACATTATGCTCAGTGAAATAAGCCAGACACAAAAAGACAAATACCATATGATTCCACTAATATGAGGTACCTAGGATCATCAAATTCATAAAAACAGAAAGTAGAATGGTGGTTGCCAGGGGCTGGGGAGAGGAGAGAATGGGGAGTTATTGTTTTATTTTATTTATTTATTTTTTTCATCTTTTTTTGGTTTTGTTTTGTTTTTGTTTGCGGTATGCGGGCCTCTCACCGTCGCGGCCCCTCCTGCTGCGGAGCACAGGCTCCGGACGTGCAGGCTCAGCGGCCATGGCTCACGGGCCCAGCCGCTCCGCGGCATGTGGGATCTTCCCGGACCGGGGCACGAACCCGTGTCCCCTGCATCGGCAAGCGGACTCGCAACCACTGTGCCACCAGGGAAGCCCAGAGTTATTGTTTTAGTTGGCACAGTTTCTGTTTGAGAAGATGAAAAAGTTCTAGAAATGGATGGTGGTAATGGTTGCATAACAACGTGAATGTACTTTATGCCAGTGTACACCTAGAAATGGTTGAAATGGTAAATTTTATGTGTATTTTACCACAATAAAAGAATGGATATTCAGAAACAGAACTGAATTATAATAAAACAAAGCTGTATTTAGAGAAAAATATAGCTTTATATATATTTATCAAGAAACAAGAAAGATTTAAAAAATAAGCTAAGCATTTGCTATGGTCTGAATGTTTATGTCCCTCCAAAATTCATATATTGAAATCCTAATGTTTGACGTGATGGTGTTAGGATGTGAGGTGTCTGGGAGGTACTTGGGTTATGAGGGTGGAGCTCTCATGAATGGGATTAGTGTTCTTATAAGCGGCCCCACAGAGATCCCTTGCCACTTCTACCACTTCACACTCATTAAACTGGCAAGAAGGCAGAGAAATGCCAATGCTAGAAAAGACAGAGATGCAGCGATAGGAACTCTCATGCGTGCTGGGAGAGTACAGCCAGGTGCAGGCCTTCTGGGAACATTCCTGTCCTACTGAGTCACATTAAGTCATATGCACTTGCCATCCTTCCTAAGGCAAAAGGGACAAGGATGTTCACTGCAGTGTAATTTGTGGTGCCAGAACGAAGGCAATCTGGATATCTAGCATCTAGTAGACAACGATAAAGTACAGTAGGTAAGAACAACGAAGTGGACACAGAAGATGGAGCAGTTGAAAGTAATAAAAAAGAATATGTACAGCTGTATCATTTACTTAAATCAACACACAGACACACAGAACAATGTCACCAGTTTTAAGGTCATCCAACAATCAAAGGGTCTCTATTAACCACATTAGAGTGGTTTCCTATGGGAAGGAGGGGAATGGGGATAAAGGGAATAAACAGAGAAGAGAACAACTTTCTGTGGAACAATGATGGTAATGTGGCAAGAATGAAGAAAACGACTACCTCAGTTCTCTACAAGTAAGATCCGAAAGAGAGTCCCTTTGGAAGAAAACCTCTGACCCAAGGGGATTCTCAGCCACAACCACATCATCCAACCAGGGCACCACCCAGACACAGGAACCACTGGGAGTGAGGTCAGTACCCGAGTCTCCAGGCTGTCAGTGGCATTGGCCTGGCTGCTTCTGGCTGCCAAGAGCTGCTGTCTGGTATCCTCCAAATTCTGCTCAGCAAGTGTTTTCTGTAAGTTGAAAGAAGAGTAAAAGAAAATAGTCATTTCTCCATTGAATAAATATTTACTGACATCTACACCATACTACGATTTGTGCGAGGCACGAGGGACACAAGTACGCACCAAACAACCCAAAACAGTTAACAGAGATAAAATTCACATATCATAAAGTATACATATAAAGTATACATAAAGTATAAATTTGACAGTTTTTTCACCTTGAGGCTGGGGCAAAGACTAACCAAAAAAGTATATAATAGAGTGTAATGGTGTCCACAAAGGAGCAGCACAGAGCAGGAGATCCTCACTGCCTCAGGCAACTAGGAGGCTTCATTCTTCACAGGTGGCCAGGGCCCAAGGGAGCACCCAGGCAGAGGGATGACACTAGAGGTATGAAACAGCTGGAGGCATCTGGGGAGCTACAGCTTGCCAAAAGTCAAGGTGATGATGGGTTCAGGTCATGAAACAAGACTAGAAAGTTAGGCAAAGGGCCAGATTATGAGAAAAGCTTTTTATGCTACAGAAGGAAGTTTGAACTTAATTCTGTAGCAAATATTTTTCAAAGTGGAGTCATCCAAACACTAGCATTAGACTCATCTGGGTGAGTGGAGGAGTTTTTAAGTTTGAGGCCTTATTCCAGGCCTACTAAAATCAGAATTTCTGAGGGTAGGGCAAGACATACATACACACACACACACACACACACACACACACACACACACACACGCATGCATGCATGCATGCATGCATATATATATTTCTTTTTCTCCCCCAAATTTTTGGCTTGCAAGATCTCAGTTTCCTGACCAGGGACTGAACCTGGGCCACTGCAGTAAAAGTGCCGATTCCTAACCACTGGACTGCCAGGGAATTCCCTAGAAATGTATACTTCAAACAAACTCACCAAGTAACTCCTATGCACACTAAACTTTATAACAATGATGATGGCACAATAATGATTATAATATTAATAGTTGAAATATATTGAGACCACATGATATGCTAATTCTAATCACTTCCCAATAACAATTCTATGTGTTTGATACAATTTTAACCCTATTTTACAGAGGGGGAAGAAAACACAAAAAGATTAAGTTACTTGCTCTAAGTCAAAAATTAGTAAGTAGAAGAGGTAAAGGGCAAACCTAGGGAGCCTGGTTCTAGAAATCAATCTATACCTTAGAAACCACGTTATACTCACTATAGACTGTAGGGTATTTGTGGAAGCTCTTTATGGGAGTGATATAGTCAGAAATGTTGTTTGGAAAGATCAGTTTAGGGGTGACGTGGAAGACTGTGTCAGAGGGTGCAGGGGAGACTGATGTTGTGTAGGCTCGTCTGGAGACTTCTAACACAGATTAGGCCAGAGTGGCTGGGAACATGAAGTACAGCAGTGGCAGTGGAGATGGACACATTTATTTGAAACTGACTGAAGACAGAAAGTGAGGGGCTAATCTAGGCCCAAGGCTTGGGTTTTGTCACCTCTGTCATGTAGGAGAGAGCAGAATGTGGGCAGACAACAAGCAAGTTCACCTACACCACTGGGCTAGAGGCCAGTTGGCTCAACTGCCTCCTTCGGCTAAGGAGAGTCCACTTGCTGCCCAAAGCAATTCTCGCTCACGCCAAAGGCAGATGGTAACTACTTTCCTTGGCCAATGTAAAGTACAATGGGTAGGGAAGGAAAGCAGGGCAGTAAGACAACAACCCAAATGGCGTAAATCACTAGGTGGGGTTTATCGGTGATCAGGATGCCACTCCTTCACATGCATCTCTGAACGAAGTGCTCCCTTTCCTTCAGGAAAACGTCACACACAGGCAACATGATGCTGATTTTACCATAAGCAGAACAATCAAAAGTTGGAGGGATTGATCTTTTCACCAAGCTCTTTGAAGACTCTCTGGCTCTGAAACTCTAGGATTTTATGAAATCTCCAGTGTTACCACGGCCCTCCCAACACTGGCCAGCCCAAAGGGAGCTAGTTACCTCTTTTAGAAGTTCCTGCACATGTTCTCCCCCTGATAAGTTCTGCTCCAGTCTCTTTTCCAAGGATGCAACCTTCTCCTGCAAATGTGTGATGAGTTTTTCTTTCTCTTGAGTTTCAAAAGTGGCCTGCAGGTGAAAGCAGAGATTACATTACACTGTCTCTCTCCCTCCCTTCCTCTATCCTCTAGAATCACCATGTTTCTCTGAAATTGTGTTTCCAACTACATCCTAGAAGAACATACAGCCAGGAGATCTTCCCTGAAAATGGAACAGAGAATATATGAGATCAGAACCCAACACTACTCAGGTATCTGTTTCAGGCCTATTGCAGCAAGCAGCAAACGCTCCCAAATTTAAGCACCTGGCAATCCGGGAAGGAAGAATGCTACTACGTCTGTAGAATCTAGCCAGGACCCTGCGAAGATGTTCCTGCTCTCTAAAATATCCCCTGTGTTGTCATGATCGACTAGCTAAAGGAATGCTCCCCCTCCCACTCTCATCAAGCATAGGTTTGATCCTATTAATACAGAGGCCAACAGGACCTACAACTTTACACCAGATGCCAAGAACCAGCAGAGGTAATTCCACTGAGGAAGCTCCCAGCCAGCCCTACAATGACCTACAGAACAGTACGCCTGGAAACGTGGGGCTGGATGAAGCAGTCATGATGCCAGTGCAGCTGCCTTAAGGCTGAAGACAGAACTGAAACAAACAATGATATTCACCCTGGCTCACAGGACAGGGAGCACCTCTGAATCACAGCAGCACCTTACACCATGCCCCAGATCACCAGCTGCCCACTTATTTATTTCAGTCTACCTCTTTAGCAGTGATGGTAGTGGTGGCACTGGTGGGTTGGGACTACATTTGTTCCTTTCACAACTGTCAGTCTCCAAATGCTGCTCAACATCAAAGCTGAGGATCCAGAATCCTTTGAATATACAATTTCTTAGCTCACAGTGGTCCTTACATCCACTGAACATGCCCATTCTCCACTCCAAAATAAGGTCGTATGGCATCAACATTTCATTGTGAGGACTTGAACCTCCTCACAAATACTGTGCTCCCTCATATTCCCTCACCTCATGATCTGCTGCTCCATCTCAAGCCACAGACTTCCATGTTTAGCTTGCAACCCAGCCAGTTTTCTCCTCCGAATAAGATGTAGCTACTTGGGCCTAGGATTTTGGGAAGAAGCACTTGCCATTCTGAATTCTCACAGCGGTGACAACATATATAGTGGAGGAGAAGTTTGAAGAATGGATTCAAGATCACATAATTTGGGCTTCCCTGGTGGCGCAATGGTTAAGAATCCGCCTGCCAACGCAAGGGACACGGGTTCGAGCCCTGGTCCGGGAAGATCCCACATGCCGCGGAGCAACTAAGCCCGTGAGCCACAACTACTGAGCCTGCGCTCTAGAGCCTGTGAGCCACAACTACTGAAGCCCGCACGCCTAGAGCCCATGCTCCACAACAAGAGAAGCCACCGCAATGAGAAGCCCGCTCACCACAACGAAGGGTAGCCCCTGCTCTCTGCAACTAGAGGAAGCCCGCGCGCAGCAACGAAGACCCAACACAGCCAAAAATAAATAAATTAAAAAAAAAAAAGATCCCATAATTCAAAAACTTTTATCAAGCCTATACTCTATGTGTTGTCTCTAGGGATATAAGCAGCTATAGTTACTGACCCATAGAAGCATGGAGGCTGGTGGTAAAAAGGGATATACACACAGTTAATTATAAAACAATACAATCATGCTGTAACAGAGAGACATGCAAGGTGCTATGAGATATCAGAGGGACTAACGGGGGCAATCAGATCAGGCCTCCTAAGCAGGCAAGTCCAGGTGGTAGGTGGGGGAGAGGAACAAGCTTTCTGGGTAAAAGGCAGCACGTGTAAAGGTGTAAAGAGACAAGTTCAACATGACCAGGGGGCTGGGTGAAGAGGAAAGAAGAAGTGAAGACAACTGCCAAGTCTGTGGCTCAGATGCCTGGATGAATGGTAACATTATGCAAAGCAGAGAATACAGGAGGGAGAGGTAGTCTGATAGGACAGAAGTTTTGGCCCAGCTGACCCATCTTTAATGGGTCTCTTACTAATAATGTTGATAACAGTAATAATTACAATAGCATGGTGCAGGAGCAGCTACAGTTTGCAAAGCATGTGCAAGCTCATCCTCTAGTCCTTACAACCACCCTTCACTGTGTCCATTTACAGGGAAATTGAAGCTTAGGGACTACTAGCCCAACAGCACACACCTTGGTGACAGAATAAGGATTCAAACCCAAGCCTTCTTGACCCAAAGCCTGTACTCCTTATATTACACATTAGTATGAACTTGAGAGATACATGTGACCCTTTCCAGTAACAAGCAAGAGAACAAACAAGTCTTATATAAGTCACCGTGTTGGGCAGAGTCAGGAACAGAAGAATCAGTTGCCAATTTCCATTTAGTTTTCTTGTGCACCCTATCCCACATGGAGCAATTCCCCACACTCTGGCTGTTTTACTTCAAGTCCTCAGCACCTAATGTGCTACAGCTAACACCATACTTAATGGTGAGAAACTCAAAGATTTTCCCACTAAGATCAGGTACAAGGCAAGGATGTCCCCTCTCATTACTCCTTTTCAACATCATCTGGAAGTTCTTGCTAATGCAATAAGGCAAGAAAAGGAAATAAAAGGAATGGAAGGCTTCCCTGGTGGCACAGTGGTTAAGAATCCGGCTGCCAATGCAGGGGACACGGATTCGAGCCCTGGGCCAGGAAGATCCCACATGCCATGGAGCAAATGAGCCTGTGCACCACAACTACTGAGCCTGTACTCTAGAGCCTGCGAGCCACAACTACTGAGCTCATGTGCCACAACTACTGAAGCCCGTGCACCTAGAGCCCATGCTCTGCAACGAGAAGCCACCACAATGAGAAGCCCGCAAACTGCAACCAAGAGTAGACACTGCTCGCCACAACTAGAGAAAGCCTGTGCGCAGCAGTGAAGACCCAACGCAGCCAAATAAATAAATAAACCTTTCTGGAAAAAATTATAGAACCTTATTGAGAGTCATTTTTAAAGAAACAGTAACACTGAATATCTAGAGAGACAGACACTGTGTTCTTGGATAAGAAAACTCACATGATAAAGTAATCAATGATCTGCAAATGCATCTTCAGAGTCAACGCAATTCCAATCAATATCCCACCAGCTGTGTGTTTGTTTGTTTGTTTGTTTGTTTATTTATTTAAGGCTGTGTGCGGGCTTTCTCTAGTTGTGGCGAGGGGGGGCTACTCCTCATTGCGGTGTGCAGGCTTCTCATCACAGTGGCTTCTCTTGTTGCGGAGCACGGGCTCCAGGCACAGGTTCAGTAGTTGTGGCGCACAGGCTTAGTTAGTTGCTCCATGGCATGTGGGATCTTCCCAGACCAGGGCTTGAACCTATGTCCCCTTCATCTTTTCCAATTTTTCCTGGAGACATCTGCAGTCTGGACAATATCAACACTCTCTTCCCTCTGGCATCTGGTTTGGTTCAAGGTTGCATTTGGGCAGGTGACACTGCTGGAGGCTGGGAAGTCCACGATCAAGGTGCCAGCATGGTCACCTCTGGTGAAGGCTCATTTCCTAGTTCATAGCTGGCATTTCTTTCTGTGTCCTCACCTGGCAGAGAGGCTAATGGTCTTTCTGGAGCCTCTCCACCAGGTTTTTTAAGGTGCCTGACAAGTTGTTCTGTGGAAGAGCAATAGGCCAACGATATTCAAAATACTCCTGAAAAAGAACTAGGTACGGAGACTTGTCTTGTCAGACACCAGGACTTATCCTAATACTGTAGCTAGTAAGGCAATGCTTAGTATTGTGCAAATACCACAGGTGCATACACCCCAAAGTCCAGGAGTGGTTCCATGTACAAATGGAAAACTGAATCACGATAAAGCTGGCATTGCAGATCAGTGAGAAGACAGATTTTTCAATAAATGGTACTAAAACAATTAAAATAAAAATAAGACAGATCCCTTTCTCACACCAAAATCACATTTCAGGTATGTTAAAGACTTGAAAATAAAGTCAAGACTCTAAAATTTTCAGATAATAATATAGGAGAATAACGTTATGATTCCAAGTGAGGAAAGGTTTTTTTAAAGAGACAAAGTATAAACTTAAAGGAAAATAATAAATTCAACTATACTAAAATGAAGAGCATATGTTCAACAGAAGAAACCATAAAGAGTGTGAAGGCAAGCCCAAACTGGGAGAACACATTTGCAACCCACATAACTGACCAAGGAGCTTGGTAGCCAGGATATATATAAAGAACTCTGACAATTAGTGAGAAAAAGACAGAAAATGTAATAGAAAATGGGCCAAAGATTTGAACCAGCACTTCACAGAAGAGCACGAATGACTGATAAACATATGAAAATATGCTGAACTTCATTAATAATCTGGGGAAAGCAAATTAAAATCATGGTGAGAGGGAATTCCCTGGTGGTCCAGTGGTTAGGACTCTGCGCTTTCACTGCTGAGGACCCAGGTTCAATCCCTGTTCGGGGAACTAAAATCCTGCAAGGCATGCAGCGCGGCCAGGAAAAAAAAAAAAAAAAACATGGTGAGAAAAAATTTCACATTCACCAGACTGGTAAAAATTAGAAGTCTGACAATATATCACCTTGTCAAGGAAGCAGAGGAACCCACATTCTTATACACTGCTGGTGAATGTTTGTAAATTACTACAACTACCATGGAAAAACTGGGCATTACCTAGTAAAGTTGAAAAGTACAAATCTTTTGACCCCAACTTTTCACATCTCAAATACACCCTAGAGTTAACTCATTCACAGGCAGACAAAAGTTCACAGCAGCCTTGTTTGTAAAAGCAAAAACCAGAAACACCTTAATGCCCCCTGTCAATAGAATGGATAAATGAATTTTAGTAACTTCATACTACACAGTTGAGAAAAGATTAAATTATAGCGGTATGTGTCCATATGAATGTGTCTCAGAATACAATCTTGAGCACAGAAAGGCAGCATTAGAAGAATACCTACAGCACTTCATTTATATAATGTTAACAAGCACGATAAATGAAAGAAGCTACTGTTAGGGATTAAATTATAAAGCAAAGCTAGGAAGTGGAGTAATTTCTAGATAAGCTTACTTAAGAAGGTAAAAAGAATGTGATGGAAGAGTAAAGGGCACACCAGGAATCTCAAAGGTAAACATACTGTTGTTTTTCTTAACCTGTGGGGTAGTAGCTACATGGCAGTTCATTAGCTTGCTACACTATTTACCTTACTTATGTTTCATAAATATTTCATATCTACTCAATATTCACAAGGACAACAAAGAAAAGGACTCTAAACTCATCATCTTTATGAGAAAACTGACCTTCCTTTAGTGCTATCTTAGCCTGATGACTGACAGCATCAGCCACTCAGGTGATTAAGCCAGAAACCCAGAAATCACCCCCAACACCTCCTTTCCTCTTGCTCCTCTCCTGTATTTACCACATTACCAAGTGGGTCCGTCTCCTCACGATTTCTTAAATTTGTCTCCTCCCCTGTCATTTCCACCCCGACTCTTGTCAAAGTCACCGTCTAATGCCTGCACAACTGCAATAGCTTCCTAACTGGAAACCCTTTCAATGTATCCTCTAACAGCCAGAGTAATCCTCTCCCTTACTCTGTGTTACCCTTCCAGCCATCTTCCACTTCCTTGAAGGCGCTACTCTCTTTACTGCCTCAGTTTCTGGGTTTATTGTTCATACTATTTCCTATTTAAAATTCTATGCCATCATTCCTACCCTCACAAGCTTCAGTAGTTCATCTCAGTTCAAGTGTTACTTCCTCAAGGAAAGTGTTCTATGACTCCAACGCTAGATCTAACTTGATGCCCTTACAGGATCTCACAGCATCCTGTGGTTTTCCTTCACAGCAACACATCATAGTTTGTAATTATATATCTATGTGATTATTGATTAATGTCTCACTTCCCCTCTAGACTAAATTCCACAAGGGCAAGGGTGATATCTGTTTTGCTCACCCTAGTATTTCTAACATCCAGCACAGAGCACAGAGCTTGACACATAATAAAACTCAAATTATACTTTTAGAATGAATGAGGGAACTCAGTGGGACCAGAGTCTGGAAAATTACCTTTTCCAATTATGAAATGGATGGATGGTTCTAATATCAAACGGTCCCGTGAATCCCAAAGTTTTGTGTCTGTTATTCTCTCCAACGCCCCCCCCCCCCCACCAAAATGTATTCTTTACCCTTCTGTCTTCTCTGCTTCCTGCTGTCCTACCCATCCTTGAAATTCCAGTTCCTCCAGGAACAGTTCCTTGACTCCTGCACTGGAAATGAACTCTCCCTATGGCATATCCTTTGCATTTGAAAAATCTGTTTCACTTATTTGGGACTTACTGAGTTGTGAACTTTTTTCTTGTCAAACAGGAGGTTTGAGTTCTATCATGAAACAGTAGGCCTCTGAGACAAAACACTATAGGTGTCTAGATCTATTTACTGGGTGCTCCTTGTTGTGAGTCAACAAAGCCCCGTGGAACAAGCATGAGCTTTGGAGTAAGACGGGTTAGAATTCAGCTCTGTCACTTACTATATAACTTTGAACAAGGTATATGACCTCTCTCGGCTTCTATTTAGGTATCTGTAAGTATGCTAATAGCTAGAAGGGGTATACAGACTTCTCTTTTACACAAATCTTACTGTACTGTAATAATACTGTAAGTCTCTGGTGCACTTGAGATTAGTAGTTCTCAGGGGATGAGGGTAGGGTTTTTGGTACTACCTGTTAGGGGGTGTTTTGTCTATATGAGGAGAAGGGCTGGCTTGTCAATGCCTGAAGGATGCTGCTGGCATTCAGAACACAGGGGCCAGGAAAACTAAATGTCCTGCAATGCATGGGACAACCATACAGTACAAATTGTTCTGCTCAAAATGGTAAGGAACACACCACTGAGAAACACTACAGTCAATAATGATATTATTATTGTTCACCCTTATGTTCTCAGAATTTAGCACAGGCCTAGAGTAGAAGGGCAAAAACTGTATGTTAGCCAAACAAAAAAACGAACAGTAATGATATCATTTATGTGCGTTTGAACAAATCGGATTAGAGCCACGTATGTCAAAGGTACAAGCCTAGCCACGTCAACCACCGCTGTTGTGTCTTCTTGTGCTCAAGGTCCATGACATAGTAGTTTTTACAAGTTTGAGTAGATCAAATGGTGTGCTTTGACAGTTCCTGTCAGGACAATACTGACCTCTTCTGTTAAGCAACCCTTGTTCAACTACATGGCCCCTTCCATCTGGATGCAGCCTGGCTACACCAGGAACTAGGGCAATGTGGACTGCACGACAAACAGAACTTTCACCAGCCATCCTGAGGCGAAAATTTCTGACAGATATAGTTTTTACCCCATTCATGAATCCTAGCAACTTGGGACTACTCCTAGTCCTCTACTTACCTTTTGCAAATCAATGGAAAGTTGCTGAATGAAGGCTTGGAGTTCCTGTTCCTTCTGCTCCAGGGCTGTGATCTTATTTTCTGCACCTGTTTTTGAAGCTGTCACATGATCTCTTTATTGAAAGAAAGCAGACAATGAACAAATTTGGATATCCCACCTAAGACACATTCTTCACATGTCAGGGCTGCAAACATTAGCCTTGTGAAGATTATCAGTGGAAAAGACTCCTTCAATCTCTCTGAAGCAGAAGGCCCAAGAGAAAAATTCCACTCAGGTTTAGGCAAGAAATCCTGATCTACCTTTGGCTATTCAATAGCTTAGCAACTCTAAAACATACTAAATTGCTCGGCAGGGTTGGAGTGTCTGAGCCTAGGCAGGTGAAGGGGAATGAGGGTTTGGAGGAGGTAGGGGGGTCCTAAAGCCCTAGGCAGGTAAGGATAAGTCCAGAAGACCTTGCCAGAATTAAGATCAGAAAGTGCTACAGTGAGCAATGGGGAAAGACAGGTTGGCTGTAAGCAGAGCTACACTAACACCGCTACCCATGTGCCCCACAGACCAAGCAAGAACCTCTGCTCTTCCAGCGTTGAGTATTTTCTCTGAAGCTCTTCTATCGTCTGGCTTAAGTCTGCTGACATCTGGTTGGAGATCATCAACTCCTCCTGGGTGCGACTAAGTTCTCTGGTACGTGCTTCCAATTCTTGCTCCATTTTCCCCAAACTTTCTTCTTTTTTTAAAAGCTGATACAAAGATAGAAAGTTTCACTGGACCACTACTAAGAAATACACTTGTAAAAAAATCTGGACAAGGACTTCCCTGATGGTCCAGTGGTTAAGAATCTGCCTTCCAATGCAGGGGATGCAGTTCAATCCCTGGTCAGGGAAGATCCCACAGGCCACGGGGCAACTAAGCCCACATGCCCCAACTACTGAGCCTGCGCATCTCAACTAGAGAGCCTGCGTGCTGTAAACTACAGAGCCCATGCACTCTGGAGCCTGCGCGCCGCAACTACAGAGCCCACGTGCCCTGGAGCCCACGTGCCACAACTAGAGAGAAGCCCGCATGTTGCAGTGAAGAGCCAGCGCGATTTGGAGCCCGCGCACCACAACTAGAGAGAAGCCCACATGTCACAATGAAGATCCTGCGTGCCGCAACTAAGACCCAACGCAGCCAAAAATAATAAAAATAAAATAAATAAATTAAAAATAAAATCTGGGACTTCCCTGGTGGTGCAGTGGTTCAGAATCCGCCTGCCAATGCAGGGGACAAGGGTTCGATCCCTGGTCTGGGAAGATCCCACGTGCTGCGGAGCAACTAAGCCCATGCGCCACAATTACTGAGCCTGCGCTCTAGAGCCCACGAGCCACAACTACTGAAGCCCGCACACCTAGAGCCCATGCTCTGCAACAAGAGAAGCCACCGCAATGAGAAGTCCACGCACCACAATGAAGAGTAGCCCCCGGGCTTCCCTGGTGGCGCAGTGGATGAGAGTCCGCCTGCCGATGCAGGGGACACGGGTTCATGCCCTGGTCCGGGAAGATCCCACATGCCGCGGAGCGGCTGGGCCCCGTGAGCCATGGCCGCTGAGCCTGTGCGTCCGGAGCCTGTGCTCCACAACGGGAGAGGCCACAACAGTGAGAGGCCCGTGTACCGCAAAAAAAAAAAGAGTAGCCCCCGCTCGCCGCAACTAGAGAAAGCCCGCATGTAGCAACGAAGACCCAATGCAGCCAAAAATAAATAAATAAATAATTTAATTAATTATAAAAAATCTGGACCAATAAGGCAAGCTTTCATAACATTTTTGTGAGCTTAGAAGGGGTTTCATATGCCCAGTAGTTTAAAAAGAAAAAGGAAATACATTTCAAACAGAACTTTTCTACTTTAACAAACTGAAAAACATACAAATATGATTAGTATCAAAGACAACTAAGGTATGCTTATCAGCAGTTAGAGAGTGATGACTAGCAAAATCATCTATTCAGGATTTAGCTTCTAAAACAAGAACGCGTACCATGTGCTTTACTTTACTTAGTTCCTGCTGCTGGAACCCCTCTAATTCATCCATTTCATCTCTCCTTTGGAAAAGATTCAAACTCTGGTTCTTCATTTCCTGTAACTGAGCTGTCAGAAACCTTTTATCCTATGCAAAAGAAGATATCAGCTCAGGCAACTAGGACATTAGAAATCCGTATTATACAAGCAGAATTCTTAATAAAGGAAAATCTGAAGACAATTTCTTATCAGTAGCAATAATACATTGATAATGGGAAGCTTTACGGTAATTATTTACAAAATTATCTATAAATTCTTTAAGTTAGAAATAAATATGTTTTAAATGATAGTTGTGAAAAGGGGAACAAGAGCAACAATTACTTAACCCTTGAAAAGTGCTTAAGTTTGATTAGCAATTGCAGATATCCATTTTAATGTCTATCTCAATGACACACTGAACTGGCTGAATAATGTGAATAACTGGAACAAGACTGAATGCTCTTAAAAAATTAGATGCATTTAAGTAGAACTAATTTTGGTTAGTAAGTTCAGATAGCAAGTCAACAAAAATTAGACATGACTGATGTCAGGAGGTTACAATTTACTAAATAATAGCTTCCCGAGATGGATTCTCTTCAGGAAAAACCCTGTTGTCTCAGTTTCCAATTCTTGATTAAAAAGAAATTAAAACGGGGAGGGGAGGGGTGGTGGGACTGGGAGATTGGGATTGACATATATACACTAATATGTACAAAATGGATAACTAATAAGGACCTGCTGTATAAAAAATAAATTAAAAAAAATTTTTTAAAAAGAACTTGCTGTTTAAAAAAATTAAATAAAAAAAAAAAAGAAATTGAAACAGTCTAAAAATAACACTTCCAAAAATCACAGTGGCTTAAAAGACCTACATAGATGCCTCATTACTCTTTCCTGGTCTAAATTATTTCCCAACCTCTCCTGTGGTAGGGCAGGGGGACGGAGAGAAAAGATCTTAGTGAACTGAAGTAGATTCTACTTAGTTCAGTCCTGTATGGATTCCCCCTTTACCATAATTTTAAAAGATGAAAAAATAGTCCAATGAGAATTCAGCTGCTACAATCTTGTTTCTTTCAAGACAAGAAAACTTTAACCTAACCCATACCTTCATATTTAAGAAGACCATAATTAACACCATGTTTAGATATATTTTTTTTAAGCACAAGTTTCTTTGGACCATAGCTTGACTTTTCTGTAATTCTTTCCTTACGTAAATACGTTAAGGCATTCTGATAGCTTGGGTAATCAGATTTCTAAAGAACACACAAAGAAAATCGCTGGTTTAACTTCGTGTTTCATCCCAAGAATGGAGCAATAATAAAACTCATCTGTTTAATAAAATTAACAGTAAATATATGTCACAACTGAATATATCAATCTAAGAAATAATTTTCTGGACTTCCCTGGCAGTCCAGCAGTTAGGACTCTGTGCTCCCAGTGCAGGGGGCACGGGTTCGATCCCTGGTTGGGGAACTAAGATCCTGCATGCCACATGGTGTGGCAAAAAAAAAAAAAATAGAAAAAGAAAAGAAAAGAAAAAATTTTCTACCATAAAGAGTAACTCAATGAGAACAAGGAATGAATTAGGAAGCAGCACATAATGTGGGCTGAGCAAATTGACTATTGATTATTTAAAATTAAAATGTCTTTCTAATTGTAGGTGTGAAATTTCATCTTCCTGTTCATGTCTGGGAGCCAGGAATACATTACATAAGGCACCTACACAGTGTTACACAAGCTATGGTGCTGGAATAATCAATTCTCCTCATCTGTGTCTAGCTAAGAGGTTCTCTTATCTACTCAATGCTGAGCCTTCAGAAATGCCCTCCTTCCCCACTGCATCCTCAAAAATTATTCCTAATGTTACCACTGTGTCAATCAGAGCCCCAGCAAGAAACAGACTCAAAGTAGATATTCTGCAGACAGTCTAATAAAGGGACTTTTCAAAGCTGTGGGTGGGGTAAGAAAACCCAAAAGAGATGATGTGCTAGTAACAGTTGGGCATAAAGGGGCAAAGGGATAAATAGGTTACAAGAAACACAAAAAGAGAGACTCTATCAGAGGGTGAACCAAAGGTCCAGCTGAAGCTGTGACCTTGGGCCATGGGACGCATCCAAACTGAAGGGATCTCACGTGGAGATGGCTGAGGGAATAAACTTCCCGACCACACTCTTCCACACAGAGTTCTTTTTGTGTTCCTCACAGGCACAATTAATTAGAAGCCAGAGGGCAATGGAGCCCTGCTGATGCATTCCCTATCAGCCTTCAGATACACAGAGAAAGGTAGGAGAGGGGGGTGGAGAGTGTATCTGGAGGGGCAAACAAAAGATATCCAGTACATCCACCAAGAAAAAGGAAGACATGAGCTTTCTAAGTCAGTGTCTAGTCACCCAGTGCCCTGCTTCCAAGAGGTGGTATAGCCATCAGTGTACCAGGTACTGAAGAAAGCATTTTCCAAGCCCCAGAGAAGAGGCCAACATTCACAATGAGACAAAAACAAAGATGAACTAACCTTTTCAAGCTGATCCATTTTTTCTGACCATTCCTAAAACAAAACAATAAAAAAGTACAGTTTCCAGGGAAGAGTATCAATAATATCAAGATCTTAAGAAAACAAAATAACCCTCTCCACCCAAAGCAACCAATCAACCAAACAAAACAGCAAATATAAAGAAAGCCAAGAGTCCTAAAAGGAAAAGAAAATGAACTTTATATAAAATTCTAAAGCACATATATAAGCCTGCAAATTTTTACTAAGCAGAGCACCCAAACAAGGCTGTATCTGATGTTCTGATGCAGTTTTCAGCTTATTCCTGAGGGTTTTTCTATGAGTACTATTAATATTTCTTGGGAGTGGGTAGCTGGGACCAGCTGTGTTGGTAATTCCACAACTGCTATATAAAAATTAATTTACTGAAAAACAGGCGGGGGGCAGGGGTTGTCTTCAGCAGCCCCCAATCATTATTTTCCTTCTCATTTTCACTTTACCATTATCTTTTATGCCATCTGATAAAAGTTAAAGGAGAAGGGATTATGCCCCTTATTCACCAACCACAGAAGAGGGGAAAAAATAACCACTGGTACAAAAGGCTATATCCCAACTGCCTACAATCAGAGTCCACCAATTTTAGATTATTTCTTCATTTATATACATTCATATCACAGTTATTCACTAATTATTGGTGAATGATTTTTTTTTCTGGCTAGTAAATGTCTGACATGACTAATACATACTGTAAAACAAGTCAACCAACCACCCCACCTACTGCAGATGAAATAATGTATTTTCTTAAAATGAAATGTAATAAATTGACCCTATCTTAATAAATCAGAATTATCATTACAGTATTTTGATGCTTATCTTAAATTTAAAATGCCATTGAACAAAATATACTTTATAATTATTGTAACAGCCAGTAATAGTATTAGTTTCTTATTGTCATTCATTCAGCATCTTTCAATGGGTGGTTCTACTGAGATTACAGAAGTTCCTCTCAGTCTAGTTGGCTGGGGATGAGGAAACTTGGGACAGAGGTTGTAAGAACTATGTACTCCATGGATGATCACTAGCTTGATAGCATCTTCTCCACTATAAAGGCAAGTGTTTTGGGACTAGGCTTTCAGACAGGCTTTTGGAGGGCAGAGACCTTTTTCCTTATCTTGGGGCTCACCACCAGATTATGAACACACTACTTTCCTCTCCATTTTACAAAGTTATACAGTTTGGAAAATGATACTCTCACATTATGGACACATTTCATGATTATAACTGTAAAGTTCCTTAATAATTTCCCACCCTAAGGCCAAATGAAATCTCAAAGAACTTATATAGCATTCCTTTTCCCCTGGGTTGTAAATATCTTCTACCAGGTTTATGGCATGATTTTTGAAATCATGTCACTAAGTGAAATCTTTCCACCAGCCTTGGGCAGTGCCACATATAAAATACCTGGTCCTTTCTGGCTAATGCCAAAGCCAGTCCTTCTGCCATTTTGGCTCTGTTGGCTTGGAATGTCTCATTCTGCTCTTGAAATTTCCGCATGGAAGCTGTTAACAAAGAGGCTCTATTTGAGATATGGAGATATTTCAGAAACAGCATGTCAAATAGCCCATGTGATTACTTTACAACTGTCACCTAACAAAAAAGGCCAAGGTCACAGAGTGGATTATGAGACTTGGAAAAACCTGATCCATCTTGACTTTCCCAGAATCTTTTGCCCTTAGTAATAGACCACAGTTTTGTTTTAGCTTGTTTCCAATTGTTCTTGGTTTTTTGTTATAGTCAAGTATATACATTTAGGAAGATGCCAAAGGGTAACTTTTTAAATGATACAGTGATAGAACACTGAGTTAGGTAGGTTGCCAGAAAACACCAATGCTATTGCTAAGTGATGGCTACTACTACTTTATCAGAATTAAAACAAAAAGTCAAAACAAAGCAAAACAAAAAACCATTTCTTCCACTTTATTTTCCTTAAAAAAATTTTTTTAGTATATATCAACAAAAAATAACTTTCTACTTCTGTTAGCATCTTTCTTGGATTGAACCCAAAGGAGAACATATGATTTAGGGTAAACTAAACAAAATGTATGTTCTATTGTTAGAGGAGTGATGACTGATAGAGATTTTCCCCAGTTATTGAACAAAGCAGCAATGAAGCTATGGCTAGAACCAAAGTTTCTAAGTGTAGGCCCAAGGACCAGGCACTTGATTTTACTAAAAACTAAGGGCAGCCAATAAACCAGTCAACTGGATGAGATACATAATAACCTTCTCCTAAGAACCATGCCCATAAAGCAACATAAGGATGAATTGTATGCTTATAACTATCAGATAAATGTTATATCAACTTGATTAAGAAGTACACTACTTATAAAATAAAGATCTGGGCTACGATGAAGGACAAACTTAACCATACGCTATTGTTTCATTTCAAAAAACTAAACCCTGGAAAGATTGAAAAAAGCAGGAAAAAAAATACGTACAATCCTGGTGTTTTTCTAATGCAATTTCAAGCTTCTCTTTTATCTTCTGCAAGTTTCGGACCTGTTCAGCATAGTCTTGGGTGAGGAGGGTGACGCACATACCAGGAATGGACAAACATCAGGAAAGGAAGTTAATTAAACAAAAAAAAATGAATGAAAATGATGATTTTCTCAACCTGAAAACCATTCCTGTTAAGGAAAGCTGGGCACACAGCCTCCCATTAACAATGAACAACACAGGCAAACAGGTATAGTACAAACTACCCACAGTGTAAATGGTGAATACAAACAGGCAGACTTGTTTAGCCTTGAGAGAGAACAAGAACTGGGCCTGGGCTGGTCATCAGAAATGCCCCGCCATGAAAACCACTATTATCTCATTACTTAATTTCAAATCTCAGTTTCACCTTCCTTTCCAGTCTTAGCAGTAGGATAGATCAAAGGGAATTCACTGAACAGCTCACTTTGAGTCCATACAACTGAGTGACAGTGGTTAGGGCAATAGCAAACATCTTACCACAGTACTGCCTTTGCAATAAAAGTACTTAATTCTCTAGAAAAGTCAGCTTCTTTTCTACACAGAACTGAGCTGCCTATGACATATTAAAGGTGAAAGTCAGAATTAATTACCTTGGTAGCCAAAGAAGATAGTATGGTATAGTGGAAAAGTAGACAGGCTTTAGTTCAAATCCCAACTCTGTCAGTCCTTAGCTGAGAGACCTTAAGCAAATTATTGATCCTAAGTATTAGTTTCTTCATTTATGAAATGATGATATTAATTTATCTACCTAAAAGGATGTATTAGATAATAAACTAAATGTTCTATATGCCTTAATTATAAAACAAACTAAGTGCTTTAAGCACGTTGCACACAATGCTCAATAAAGGGTAGCTGATACTGTGGTTGTTGTTATTATTCATACTGAGCCTGTAGGTAAATACCCAGGACATAAGTGGGCTTAATAAATGTTAGTCCTCTTCCCTGTCCCTCCTCTAACACCAGTCAAGCCCAAACTATTTAGGGAAGATCCATATTACCTTAGAGCTTTCTCCCCAACACTGAACAAATATAAAGTTACTTCACCTCTGTTACTGGTATTACTTACAGGTAGGGGTAACAGGATAATAACAATTGAGTTTAAAGCAGACTGTAGTGGTTTGGATCCCAGCTCTACCACCTACTACCTCTGTGACCTTATGTCACTAAGTCCTGTTAGGCTAGAGTGAGAACAAAATGAGATTATGGACTATCTAGGAGCTGTGAGTTATACTATGTACCTTTGATAACTACACAAACACAAATATTTCAAATACAACTTGGTGAATTTTGTAGTCTGTTGCTTTCATTACAGTAAAATGGGCATAAGGCCAAAGGACAAAAACAAACACAGAAGTCATTTACCACTTCACAGGCTGAAGCTTTCAAAATGTATCTACTGGCAGAAACCAAAATAAGAACTCACAACTCTATCACAAATATGCCCTGCTCAGGCAAAGAATATAATAGGAGTTGTGTAAATCGTAAACTGCACATAAAAGACATAATGAGAGTTATAGCTTCTATACAGGTGCTGAAGTTAGAAATACCATTGAAAAGTAGCCCAAAGACCCAGAAAGACATTACACAGGTGATATGTATCTGTAGCAAGTGGCAATGTAGCACCAAACCCTGTCTGGTGCTGAAGAATCCAACATCTGTTGGCCATTCCCTAAAAATGCTATCTCCTAACCCTCTCCACCTGAAAGCAAGCTAGGCTAATGAATGAAAGATAGTTAAATCTACATATACTTTTAATACCTTTTATATCCACAGCTAGAAATCTCAGGAGCAGAAAAACATAAGTTTTTTTTTTTTTAACTTTAAAACTCAGTTTTGAATTTACACTATTCAGTACACTAACAAAAGAAGGGATTAAAGGGGGTACAAGTTGCTCCTTTTTGACTGAGAATATCAAAATATGTCAAAATAACTGTAAGGTTATGCTGTTTGGCTTTTTTATAGGCAAAGAGGGTCAGGCAAGGCAAGTTTCCTTTGTTTGCTTCTTATGAGTTCTTAGACATACCAGAAAGCCTGGCCTCTAATTTCCGTATCTGTTCATTCCTTCTCAAAAGCTGGGATGAAAGATCTTCTCTGGAGCTGCTTCCATCAGATGCCTGTTGAGACAGGTATAAGAGGTTGTATTCATACCTGGATTTTTAGCAGCATGAGACCACAATATTCAATCAGAAAGCAACAACTCTTATTTTAGGTTTGGTTACACTTTAAGTGATAACTGAAAAGTTTCTCTAACTATAAAGTAGAAGCAACACTACCTCCATCTATAATGTGAGGAGATACAAGATGCAAAACAGATAAACTGTGTGTATGTGTGTGTGTGTGTGCATGCGCGCACACACACTACTGGAATACACAGTGGTAAACAAATCCATTATGATCATATTACACCAAGTACATAATACAAAAAAATATATTTTCAGATAAAAAAGTAAATCACTTTATTTTTCCAAAGGTAAAATCCTGAGGTAAAGGGAAGAAGGTTCTGTAGCAAGGGATCAAAGAAAGGCTGGCTGGTCTGTGATGAAGAACCTATCACTGACATTGATAAAGTTTCAGTATCTTCATCTATAAAACAAAGGGGTATCAATCCATAGCTCTAAAATGCATCAAAAACTTGAGCAGATAATATACATTCAGTAAATCACTGTATTAATGAGACATCAAATTTTCCCAATAATTTAGATTATCTTAAAACATGTGCACTACTTACTACTGCTAATAAATAAATCACTTTATCTTTCTACTTTTGATTATAAAATTTTAAAAATACAGAAGAGTAAGGAGGGTGGTTTAATGAACACTCTCTACTTTAACAACTGCTGATTTTTCCCATATTTGCTTCATCAATTTTTATTCTACTATAGTACTTCAAATAGCAGACACTGACATTTCATCCTAAATATGTTGATAAACATTTCTAAAATATACGGACATTTTCCTTTATAGCCACAATACCATTATTATACCTAACAAAATTAAAAATTATAGTATCTAATATCCAGTCTTCAGTCTTCCCCATTTACTGCCAAAATGTATTTAAAGGTGGTTGAACAACTCATTTTAAATATTCATTTACCCACTGAGCCACTTACTTGCCCATTATGGAGGGTATAGTTAAAAGGGAGTCTCAGGAGGCAGAAGGCCCAGGTTAAAGTCCCATCTTCACCACTTACAAACTACAAGAACTTGGACCAATTACTTAACTTCTCTGTGCACTGGTTTCGTCACATGTAAAATGTAACAAACATAATCTACGTCACAAAACTGTGATGAGGATTAAATAAATCAATACTTGTCAGGTCTTGAAAACACAGCCTGGCACGTAATTAACTTTAATACGTGTCATCTGTTAGTAGTACAAGTTATGATTATTACTGTCAGTGAGACATCTATTCTTAGCACTGTGCTAAGCACTGGGAACAGTGGTGAAACGGAGTCCCAATCTAAAACAGCAGCAGCTGCAGCAACTACGAATTACGAAGTGCTCATTAAGAGCCAGGCACTAAACTAAGTGTTTTATATACTATGCAGAAAACAGTTAACATCCCAGGCCTGAGACTGCTATCCTTGGCAAGCCCTGCTTGTAAGGCGAGCCCTTGGCTGGCCTGTGGGAACTTAGATTTTACAAGGGTTCTCACCATTCCTGATAAGAATGACTCACTTTACCTAAACTAATTGTGCCAAAAATATGGTTTATGCTGAACACCTGTTTTCGTTCTGGGAGTCTGGAATTTTGGTAAATGCTAGGCAGAGGGTGCCTATATGACTAGCCTCCAGTAAAATTCCTGGGCACTGAGTCTCTAATAAGCTTCCTTGATAGACAACATTTTATCCTGTGTTGTCACAATTCCTTGCTGAGGGAAATAAGTGTGCCCTATGCAACTCCACTGGGAGAGGACTCTTGGAAGCCTGTGCCTGGTTTCCTCCAGACTTTGTTCATGCACCTTTTCCCTTTGCTAATTTTGCCTTGTAGTAAATGTTTTCACTGTGATAAATGATAGCAGTGAGTAAAACTATATGCTGAGTCCTGTGAGTTCTTCTAATGAATAATCGAACCTAGGGGAGAACCTTGCCTGGCCACCCTGCCCCAACACACATACTTTAATAAAGACAGGTATAGTTCCTATCTCCATTTTATAGATGTGGAAATCAAGGCACAGAAAAGTGACAAAAAATTTGCCCAAGGTCACACAATAACGATGAAAGAGGAATCAAATCCAGGTCTACCTCCATAACCTGGCCTGAGTTCCTAACTGTTACTCTACTGCCTCTCACGAAGCTCCCAGTTTAGTGGGAGAGCCAAACAAGCAAATCATCAACAATGCAGTGTAACAGGTGATATTACAGAGGATATAGGAGACAAGGGACCAAATTCAGCCAGTAGGGATAAAGAGTAGAGGGGGTGAGATGGGCAGGTCGGGTCAAGGGGGCTTCCTGGAAGTAACATGTGAGCCAAGTCTTGAACGATGCACACAAGTATGTCAGAGGAATTCAGAAGTGAGAGGAGGACATAGGAGAAATTCCAGAGAGAGGAGACAGAATATGCAAACATTTGTAGGTATGATGGAAAGTTGTCCATTCCATAAAGTACATTAAGTTCAATGTACAATGGCTGGAGCACAGGGTATAGGAAAGTAGAATGAGATAACGGTAGGATGGGTTAGCTGTGACAAGACCACAGAGGTTTACCATTATACTATAATAATGACTTTGCACTTCATCCTGCAGATGATGGGGAAGCCACTGAGGCGTTTTAAGCATTGGACAGACATGAACAGGTCCACTCTGGGGAGTTATCGGAGCCAGGGGGCCCAGATAGGCTACCACATTTGTCCACGAAAGAAAGACAGCCTGAAATAAAATGGAAGTAAAATGTACTACTAGTAAATGGAGTACAAAGGGTAAGTTTGAGTCAGGAGATGGAAGCCAAAATACCTGCTGACTAATTGGACACCAAGAAGTGAAGAAGCGAAGAGTCTAAAATGTCTCCAAGGTTTCTTGCTGGTGACATGGGGGATGAAGGTGCACATGTGGAAATGGAGTTAATGAATTCAGTTTTGTTCATGTTAGAATTTGAGATACCAGAGGAAAGGCACCTGGTTGGAGAAATATATGCAATGGGATATAAAGGTCTGGAGATAGGGAGTGGAGATCAGAATGTATACATAAATAAGTTCAAACAGATAACTTTAGAAGTCACACAGCAAAGTACTTCCTGAATTCAGGCCAATCTCCATATCTGGAATACATTCAAGATGAGAGACTTCATTTAGCAAGTCAGCGTGAAGGCAAAGCAAGTACTTCTGCCACAGAACTCAGCATTAAAACTATGTCCTTCAGCCTGGTGATCAAACGTGCATTTATATTTCCTGTTAAATACAGGAGCCAATGATAATTTAGATCTGGTCATCTATTGTTCCACCCCAATAACCTAATAGCTTCTGCCACGTAATCTGACCTGAACAGATAGTATAAGAAAGGAGGACTCATCTGACCATGGAAACAACTCAAGTATCTATCACTAGTAGAAGACAGAGACAAATTGTGGCCTTTTCAAATGCTGGAATTTTTTTTTTTTTTTTTCTTGCGTTATGCGGGCCTCTCACTGTTGTGGCCTCTCCCATTTGCGGAGCACAGGCTCCGGACGCGCAGGCTCAGCGGCCATGGCTCACGGGCCCAGCCGCTCCACGGCATGTGGGATCTTCCCGAAACGGGGCACGAACCCGCGTCTCCTGCATCGGCAGGCGGACTCTCAAGCACTGCGCCACCAGGGAAGCCCCAAATGCTGGAATTTTATACAGCAGTAAAAATAAACGAATCACCTATAGTGTACCATTTTTATAAAGTTTGAAAACAAGCAACATTAAACAACAGATTGTTTATGAATATATATGTATCTGGTAGGATATTTTAAAAAGCAAAGGATTGATATACACAAACTTTTGGACAGGTTACCTGAAGGGACGGAAAGGGAAGGTAACCAAGAAGGAGCAACCAAGAAGGAGCAAACAAGTATTGGCTTTGACGGTACCAATAATGTTCTAGTTCTCTGTAATAGGTGACAGATTTAACAAGCATTCATTTTATTTTTATGCCTTATACTTTACACTTACATTACATACATTCTTTTACATATATCAAGCATTATAAATAACTTCTTTTAAGTTATCTAACTTTAAGAGGATCCTGTCATATGCCACCAACCTGATTTTAATCCTAAGGCATGACACTTACCTAACACAGCAGCATCCTCAAATCCTTCCAGCTACAAAGGTATTTTACAAATAAGGGACACAATGCAGCCATCAATGCAATCTTTTCATCAATTTTCCCACTAAAATAGTGCTAATTCCCTGGCTAATTCCACACCAAACTCACAGACCTCGCTAAGCAACAATGACTTAGAGTGTATATATGTGCAGACATAACAAGCCAAAGTATTTTGAGAAACGAAATGTAAAAGAAGATGCACAAGGTATATAGATGGAAAAAGAGTACAAGAGGACAATGTAGAGAATATGCAAAGGGACCCATGAAAAATAAGAAAAAAAATAGAAAAGCACCTCAGAGCAAGAAGAATCAGATATAAACTACAAATAATCTTGCAATTTTAAAAGCAAATACTTATTGGAGGGACTTCCCTGGTGGTCCAGTGGCTAAAGACTACATGCTCCCAATGCAGGGGGCCCAGGTTCGATCCCTGGTCAGAGAACTAGATCCCACATGCTGCAACTGAGAGCTCACATGCTGCAACTCAAGATCCCGCATGCTGCAACTAAAGATCCTGCATGCCGAAACAAAGATCCCGAGGCCATAACTAAGACCCAGAGCGGCCAAATAAATACATAAATATCTAAATATATATATATATATATATATATATATATAAAACGGCTATTACAAAATAATAATAAAAAAAGAAAATATTTATTGCAAAGATTCCCTGAAATATTATTTTAAAAATACAATGAGGCTGTACCAAACATTAAAAACTAGAGAAGATACTTACAAAGTCATCTCCTGAGTCAGCTCCCATGGAGGCAACCGATTCCTTGCTCACTGATCGTGGGATCCTAGTAGCACCTCCTGGCCTCTGAGCGACAGCAGTCTCTTCTGCAATTTTTTTCTTTAGTTTTGCAAACATTTTGCTGTGTGGCTATCCTGCACTGATGGCCAGGTCTTGAACCCCCAACAGTCGTTAGGCCAGTAACCAGGAATTCCAAGACAGGTGCCTAAAAAGTTCCAGATATCCAAACTAACTGCATTCCCACTGAAATGTGGGCCAAAGCCTTGTGGCAATAGCGTATCTATAAATCAGATGAAAGAGCGCTCTAAGTTAAACACCAGAGAAATTTCACATCTGGGTTGTTTTGTTAAGCTTCAGGTTTCAAGATTAAGTTTCATAAGTTTACATGCACACTTACTAGAACACAATTACTAAACATTTGAAAAGCACTCAGGTGCTACAGATGCATGTACAGATAAGGAAATCCAGTCTCAAGGAGGTGAAGTAATCTGCCAAAGATTGTGTGGCTAAACGCAGTGCTGGCATTTGAACCCAGGACCCTGACTCACAAGTCCTTACTCTTTTTTTTTTTTAATTACACCACATTGGCTGTGGCATGTAACACATCAAGTAAAATTTCCCACGGCAAACATTAACATAATGCTTCTGAATCCTTCCCCCAATAATATTAAGTTCAACTACAGTTTAGACAAAAACATGTAACTCAATACAGGGAGAAGGTATAATGTTCTAATGTTCCAAGATGGTTTGGAATCAGCTGTTCACTAGAAAATGTTGACAACTTTTTTCCTAAAACAACAGGCAAGCCAGCCAACTGTATTGTATACATATCAGATATCCTTAAATGTTTCCTGGAAATGCTGTGCGGTTCTCTTTTTTAAGAGTGACTAAAATTACCTCAAGTCAATTTCTTTTTTCACAATGTTTTACATGATATTCAAACATCTTTCCCTCCTAACGTGCATGAAACATTTACATTATGGGTCCAAACTTAACTTTTGATATTTTTCGGAGGATAACTAAGCTCCACTCTAAGATGTACAAATGACTTCTTACCACTTCAGAGCATCCATTTAAGTCTGTACAATTCTTCAAAAGTTTTACCTTCAATGTCTGTAAACCACCTACTCACCTGGCTTATCTACTAGATTTAAAACAGCTTGGAGGTCAAAGCTTTCTGTCCTGTATGAAGACAAAAATAAAATGCATTGAATATTTACTCTCAAGTGTAAGGCCAAAATGTTGCGGGGTCGGGCCGGGGGTGTGGAAGAGGAGGGAGGAAGGACTAAGGTGAGGGGGAGAGAAAGTCTGTGCTACCACAATCCTCTGAGGTCTCCCCTCCCTCACCCTGGTCTTTGCATCTGTGATTTGCCTAAGAGCTTCACTTAAAGGCACAAAGAACAGAATCTCTCATTGTAGTAAGTGGCTAAACTCACTTCGCCTTGGGAGGAGCAGTGAGCAAAAGAACTTTAACGAGATTAAGGTTTCCCGGGGCCAGTATTTATTTCAGTTGATTCTGACAGTCACACTGTTTACCCGGCCAGACCCTAGAGCCTTGACTCCCACTAAGAAAGTCGCTGAGAAAAAGGATGGCTAAGTTGGGTAAAAGACAGCTTTCTAATGCCCGGGGGCCAGCCACCTGCCACGGCCGTTTGGATCCCACTCAGTCTCCTTCCAGACCCGCCCGTGCGTGGACTGTCAAAGAAGGGAAGGACCAATGTGTCTCCCATTTGACAGCAGAGAAACCGAGACCCAGAGAGGAAGAGTGACTGGTCCAAAGTCGCGCAGGGGGGGAAATTCCGGAACCCCAGGCTTCAGGTTCCCAGGCCGGGGAGCCCGCCTCTGCCCCCACCCTCGTCCTTTCTGCACCCCGGTACTGCCCTCCGCCTTGGGTCTTGGGCAACCCAGTCGGGGCCTCTTTGGGCGCACTCCGAGACCACCGGGAGAAAGAGGGGCCTGCTCGTGTCTCCGGTCCCCGCCCGCGCACCTGCCGCTCTCTGGGCAGCCGGCAGAGCCCCGCCTCCGGGGCCTCTCGTGAGCGCCGGCCCGCGTCACCAGCCCCCACAGCCGGCCTGCGGGCTGAGAAGCAACCCGGAACCGCACTTCCACCTGCGCGCCGGAAGTGGCTGCGCGCGGGGCCGTCCCACCGTGCGCATGCGCCTGAGCGCCGTCTCCCCGGCGGCCGGCGCGAGTTTCGGGGTGGCGGTTGGGCTGGAACCGCTGGAGGGCGCGGGGCTGGGCGCTCCCTGAAGCCGGCCCGCCACGTCAGCAGGCGGCCAAACCCTCGTAGGAGGGCTGGATGGCTGAAGCACTTCTTTCTTTTTTTTTTTTTTTTAAAGGGGGGGGTGCGGAGCGGGGGAAGTGGTAGGAACCTGGTGCAAAGGGGAAAGAACTGATTGCTGCGGTGGTGCCAGCCTGCGGCGTGGAAACCTCAGGCCGTAGCTGCGCTGGCCCAATCCAGACTTTTCACTCCTCTCCCTGCATCCCACTCTGCACCCTACACGGCCGCCTTGTCCCTGCAAGCCCCTGCCGCCTTCCTCACGCAGGAACCTATGGCTCCACACGTTAGTACTTGGGACTCGCGCTTCATAATGGGTGTTTTCAGTTTTGTGCCTGTGACCCACTTGTAGGACACGTAATGTGTCATTGAAAGAAGAGTTTCCGGAATCATACCCTTATTATATAGTGCAGTCTGATATATTGCATTTCATTAGAAACACACGCTAGCGGCAGCCCACCACATTCATCTCACTAGCCACTAATGGGCCTCCAACTTCCGACAGATGAAGAAAGTCCAGAGTGGTAAAACTGCCTTGTACAAAGTTTGTACCAGTACAAACTGGTAGGCTACGTCGGGTCTCGACTCCTTAATGCCAACCAAGCCAGACATTCCACACTGAAGTTGCACATGTTCTTGCCCAGACCCAACACCAGCCTGAGGGCCAGCAGCTTCAACCCAATCCCCTGAAACAATCCCTCCCTCAGTGTGTCCCACCTGGAGGAGGGCAGGGAAAAAACCAAGACTAGGACGTAGAAGAAATTTACAAACTAAAACAATAGCATCAAATCCTCAACCTCAAGACTGTTTCAAGTAACCGAGGAATTATCTGAAAGAAGCAAACCCTATCAGTTTAGCCCTTATGTTGTCAACAATTCTGAAGAAGTAGCAAAAACTTTAAGCAAATAATGTTTATTTTTATATCGATGATACACTTAATATATACGTGAATTCAAGATACAAAATTCATTTACAAGAGTTCACACCTGATGAATGTAATCACATTCCTAGAGAGAACATTTATCAATGCAAAAATGTCTTCATTACACTGACAACAAAAATCAAATATTCTGTAATCTTGTTATTCAATAAACATCAAAACAATGTTTAACTCTCCATCCTCTACTATTTAAGAGCCCTCAAGGTGGTAGGCACCATATAACAGAAGAAAACATTGGAAAAGACAAGGGCCTACTGAATCTGCTCTGCAGAATCACAGTGTTTACTCTGATATTCATTTACTTAAGTAGTGAAAGGCTTGCTATCCTTTATGACAAATCACGTACCATACAAGAGTCAAAAATGATGATCAAGAAAATAAAATGTTTTGATAACTTCTCAATTTCTAAAATCTATGACATATTAGCCATAACAGACAAAGCAGAAAAAGGCTGCTGAAAAGGAACACAATAGGAAAACATCCTTAAGAGTATGTATGGCTTAAGCAATTTAGAAACACAACAGATAAGACTTTTACAATACCACAGTTGTTCAAGTCAAATGATATTGATAATATAATTTTCCCCCTTAGTCATTGGTGGTAAATAGCCCCTTCAAATTTAATTCTACTGAAAACACATATAAAACTAGTGAATCCAAATGGTTTCTTGTCTCACAGAGCTGAGTTGATGGATTTTGTTCTAAAGTATTAACCCACAATACCCAAAATTTAATACAAATGAGCAACAAGACTACGTTTCAAGGAATACAGTGATTTGTGAATAGCTAGATAGGCAACCAAATAGCTTCATTATTTGCACGACAGATTAGCAGCACTTGGATAAGAACTGTTACGTGAAAATTATTGTGCTTCAACCTCTCAAAGAGAGCTAATAAATATACCTCTATAATCCTTATAGTGTTACAATTCTATAACATTTCAGTTACAGACAAGCACAATTTTTAAAAAGTATTTCACACCACTAGGAAATCAAGTAATTATATTCTCCAAATGTAATTTCTGCTATGATTGAAACAAGTGCATTTCTGCCTAATATCCATAATATAGACAATAGGTTCACCATTATTTTCAGGGAAAAAAGACCAAATATAACTTATTTTAACTCCTATTTGATTATCTTAACCTTTAGTGATGACTTGAATAAAGAAAAAGGTATTCAACCTTACAATGGAAACTACTCAGAGAAAATAATAATGTGGCCTGAAATGACAAAATTCTTTAGAGCTAAGTAGGAAATGATTTAAAACTGCTTCATCACATTCAATGATTAATGAAACCACTATTTTTACTGGTGCTACACAGTGAAGATAAACCTATTTGGATAAATTCCTTCATTTGTAAACTCTACTATGAAAATGGTAGGACATTGCATCTGCCTTTCCTATTACCTAAGACCTTTCTACTTTGACAGGAAGAAGCCTCCAAAATATATCTCTTGATTGTTGAGTGGCAAGGTTTATTAAAAACAACAAATAAAAAACAGCTGGAGAACTAGTCATATGATCTATGTGATGAAAGGAATGTAACCAGATAACTATAGAAAGCCACAAAGTCCTAAAATATTTTACTGAACCATTGAGTTCTTTTTAATAAAAAAGAAACAAAAGTTTTTTAAAAAACTCATTCTGCAAGAAATAGTAAATAAAAATTCTTATTGCCCTAAAACATTTGAAGCAATTTTTCCTGCAGATTTTTAATACATTACAACACATACCTATAATCTAAAAAAAAGTCAGTAACATGCAAAGAAGGGTAGGAATAGATTTTTTAATTTAAATAGTGTTTATTTCTATATGTTTGGAAATATTTACTCTTGGGATTATCATATATGATCATTTCACATTTTACAATGGTTTGATGTTTGAAAATATCAAACCATTTTACTGATTTGATGTTTGAAAAGACTTATGGGTCAAACTGTAATGTTTAGAAATCTTAATTTTCAATCACAGATAAGTGGACATCCATGACAGTTTCAAAAGAGAAAAGAATATTAGTAATATAGGGCTTCCCTGGTGGCGCAGTAGTTAACAATCTGCCTGCCAATGCAGGAGACACGGGTTCGACCCCTGGCCCAGGAAGATCCCACATGCCGTGGAGCAACTAAGCCCATGCGCCACAACTACTGAGCCTGTGCTCTAGAGCCCGTGAGCCACAATTACTGAGCCCACGTGCCACAACTACTGAAGCCCACGTGCCTAGAGCCCGTGCTCCGCAACAAGAGAAGCCACTGCAGTGAGAAGCCCGCGCACCGCAACAAAGAGTAGCCCCCGCTCACCGCAACTAGAGAAAGCCTGCGTGCAGCGAAGACCCAACGCAGCCAAAAATAAAATAAATTTAAAAAAAAGAATATTAGTAATATAACATAACATTTTAAATGTTTACTGCAGACCTAAAGGAAGGCTAGCTATAATTCCCCATCTCATTCTGAAAAGTGACATAAACACTCATTCTATTAATCTTCATTCCATAAGCCTATCAGAAAAGTAAAAAAATCTCAACCCTAAAATTACCAATGTCTCAATAAACAATACTACACCTAAAAAGATGATTGTCTTGGGATGTAGACTGGAATTGTTCACCAAAATAGGAAAATATTCCCAATTTATAGTCTGTTCTATGACCAAATTCAGGCTTTATGATTACGTGAATCTGGAGTGCAGAATTAGTATACCTCAAACTGCTAAAAAAAACTCTGAAAGCACTGTTCAAATATGTTTTTTAAAAAATCACACTGCTTAGAATAGTTTGATAATTTAAAATATAACTTTAAAAAAACACAAATTAACAAAAATATTTTTAAATTAAGAATTGGTGCTTCAGTCAGTGATTAACGTTATATAGAAATGGAATTCTTCTTAAAAGTCAATATTACACCAAACTAAGTTAAAAATATCAATTTTAGCTTAAGAAAACATTTCATATCTACAGAATTCCAAAGGAAATATTTCTATGGGCATCAACAAATTAGTTACACTTGGTTTAATACATTTATCTTTACCCATTTAAGGGCATGTCCCCCTACATCATCCTGACATCCTTCCCTTCAATAGGTGATTGATTCCATTCACACATCAATTATCCTTCCTTAAACACAAGGCATGTTTAATAAATCTCTGTGTTCAAAAATTCAGTGAAGCTGGGACACAGTGTAATTATTATGTTTTGAAATTCTCGTTTGAGGAAGATGAACTGCCTTAATAAAATTGTTTTTTAAGGTAAAGAGGTACAGCATGAACAGGTATAAAGTATCCATGTCTAAGACTGCAGGAGAATAGGGGGAGAGAGGGCTTGGTTTTCTAAGCAATTCTTATTTAATTGCAACCTGACTGTTAGAGAGTCAGAGGTCATATTCACAATGTCAGTCTCATCTACTACACTTCTAAATGCTGCTGCTCTCTTCAAATCAATGTCCACATTAAGCATGAGTCAGTTCCATGAATTTTAAATAGCATAACATCTGCTCTGCTACTCTCCAGTTGCAATAAATGATTTGGTTACTAAAACAACTCGAACATCAGACACTATGAACGTTTTCACTGATTTTCTCAGAAAGAATACATCACCAAATTTTAATATGTATTTAAGAAAAAGGCTATTACAACTTTATTTAAAATTTAACATTGTAATTGAGAAGTGTTAAGAATACTTGGCTGACATATTAAAAATAAAATGAAGAGGCAAACGTAACATTTTGGAGGACAGCAGAAACGACTCCTGACTTTTCTCTTTAAGATAATTTAAAATTGGATCAGATAGATTTAATCTTCTGAAGAATAATGGGGTAAATAGTTGTTTGCAGTTATATTTTATCAAGCAAAAAAATAACCCCTACTTAATT